GAGACGGCCGTCGTTGGATCCCGGCATGTCCACCGCACGGAAGTAGCCTTGATCTTGGAGAGCCTCCTGCAGCTTCTCGACGAGGGCGTATGCGCGGTGCATCTTCATGCCCTTGGTCTCGTGGTGGTAGTCAAAGTAGATGTAGTGCAGGCGGTCAAACTCGACGGCGCGCTTCTCGGGCTGGATTGTGGTGAACTTTTCGTCCGTGATACGGTCGCCCTCGGTCCGCTCTTTTGGCGACGATACGAGCTTCTCAACCATTTGCTCGTATGAGCTCTTGACGCGCTGCTCGCGACCCTTTTGGTTCACGAGGTTGATGAGGTAGTTGTCGCCGTAGAGACGGATCTGTTCCTCGAAATGCGCCTTGGCCGCCGGCAGAGCGCTATCGATGCCGCGAACCTGCAGCTTGGGAACGTAGCGGAGGCTGTTGATCTCGGCCCAGTAGGTGGGCACACTGCCGCGAGTCTGGACGTAGGACATGATCTGGGTCTCCTTCCCGTCGGCGCCGTACTTGCCGCTCTGCATATCGCTGCTGCCGGCAAAGCCGCCCATACCACTGCCTGAGTCATTGAAGATGGTGATCTGCTCCGTCTCGTTGTAGTTGGCAGCGTGGCCCTCGTCGTCAACGCCTCGAGTGAAATATCTGGTGCCGCCGCGGTGTCTGGATCTACGGGAGATGAGGGTGACGGTGACGGGGGTTCCCTTGAAGGTGGTGGGGCGGATCTCGAGCATGCCAAAGATGACGGGGAGGATGAAGGGGTCGACGCCGGGCTGGGGACCAACATGACCTCTGGCGCCCCTCGTTCGGAAGTCGATCAGGTCTGACTGGATAAAGCGGTTGAAGAAGAAGCGGTCGTCTGTGCGCTGCCAGAGCGGGAGAGAGGCGTCGGCGGAGGCCTGGCGCTGGAAGGAGTTTGTGAGGTCGAGAGAGTAGGAGAAGTACATGGGGCCGTTCTTCATGAAGGTCTCGAGCAGACCAATAAAGGTATCTTCGTCGGGGTCTCGGATCTGGCGCTCGCGCATGGGAAGGATCTCGGTGCTGATAACTTTGTAGACCATGTGGCCCTTGAGGCGGCCGACAGGCTGGGCCTTGTTGATTATGATGACATACTTGTCTGGAGAGAGAATGGGAGTTAGCGAATTGTGTTGTATTGCAGGCCAAGAGGGGTTGACGGCGTTGCTGGCGACAGTATGGGATCCTACCAAGTCTGAGTTGGACTATGCCCAGAATTCCGGCGATGCTTGATTGCCGGGATACTCTCTTGCCCAGGCCTGCATCTCCAAGGCGAAGGTCTCCGGTCGGTCTGTCAATGACCAGGGCAGGAGCATCAGGCGAGGAGGGAGAAGTGAAGACGTAAGAGTCGGGAGCGACCTTGACATTGATGTCGCGATAGGGAAAGGTGGGTGCCATGGCGACGGGCGGCAACGGGATGATGAAAGGGTAGTGAGTAGCGAAGAGAAGGAAGAGCTAGATGGACAAGGCAATGCAAGGCTAGGCAAAGCAGAAAAGAAGCAAATGAATGAGGGGAGGTCGAAGGGAGAGGGAATGCCTTGAGGCCCTTGTTGTCGTCCAACTGGGAGGTTGTTGAAGTTGGAGCTGACGGTCGCAAGTTCAAGTGTCGAGCAACAGTAACCAGAGCCTTGAGGACAGCTTGAGGCTTTGGTTGGCTACACTGAATGTGAACCCCAATAAAAATGGCTGTCGTCACTCTGCAGTCGCAAGCACAGCCTGGGTGGAATGGGGGGCGAGGGGAGCGTCTCCACACAAGGTAAAAGTACTTTGACGAAGTACCTTTCTAGAAACTTGTAGGAAACGACCAACTGTGCACATAGTAGAATACCTCAACTGAGGTAGAACAGCCTGCTTAGAGCTTCGGTACTGCTGTGCAAGGGGCTGAAGACGCACTGGAACTCTGGGAATCTGAATGTCCGGCTTGTGAAAGAGGGACCGAACAACTAGAAGCACAAGCCATGTTCGGGAGCTATGATCCAATGAGGGAGCTGGGCAGCTGGTTAGATCTGAAGATTACATACGCAGTACTCCTGGAGAGCCATCACCTTAGGTAAGCCTGGGATCAAGAGCTGTCCTGAGGTGCTGCCAGTCCTGTGATGCTGTGATGATGGTGCTGTGACTCAGAGATTACATAACACGGCAAAATCCTCCCGTCGGCCAATCAACGCAGACCACTTTGCCCAACTATCGAGCTGGAGGTCACCTTAGTCGGGCTTCTGGCGGGTCTGGCACCTGGTCAGAAGTCATCGGGGTCGTAGGTGTCCCCCGTCCGTCCGTCCATCTGCACCTGACAGCCCGACGACTGGTGAGTGTGTATCATCTCAGCGCTCCACTGTAGAGTACCTACAGACTTGTAGACAGCTTGGTCCTTAGGTAGGTAAGGTACCCTATTAGTCGGGCGCTAGGACACTCTCAACCACGTACGCAGTACCTTGCCTTACGCAGCCCGCAATAAAGTACGGAAGTACCAGACAGTGAATGGGCATCAGTGATCACCCACACATACACACCACCCAACAGCACCGACACGCCCCCCCGAGACCCCCAAGAACGGTTGACCCCAAGGCAGTCACATTATTCCAGGCCCCGATTTACCATCAACTCCCATCCCGCTGCTTCCCACCTTACATTCCACCACCACCGACCTTTACGCAGTACTCGCACTCTCGCCCCTCCCGCCGCGCAACCACGAATCTTTTGATCCACGACGGCTGCTGTCGCGACCCTCGATCCCTATCTCGATCAACGTCACATCGCCCTCATTTCCTCCATTACGACTTGTACCATCCTTTCCGAACGCCAGCGAACGAGTCCGTCCGGCGACATTCGATACAACCGTCATTCTAGAACAGCCTCTCGCTCCGTGTGTGAGGCCCATCAAACGCCGACTTTCCTGCCATCGCCCGCTTCTTCCCAAAAACCTCTTCTTCATATTACGCAAAAATGGCTGCCCGAGGCCCCGGTGCTCCTGGTGCGCGCGGAATGAACACGCGCTTTGCGCAGTTCAAGCTCGTCTTGCTAGGTATGTGTTCTTCCTTGCCGCCCGAGTAGTCTATCATAACAATAGCTAACGGTCACGATGATACACAGGCGAATCCGCTGTTGGAAAGGTATCTCATTGTCCGGATCGTCGTGGAAATTCCATCCGTTGGTGCTAATCCGTTGTCCAGAGCTCCATCGTGTTGCGTTTCGTCAAGGTAAGTCCCCGATGCACAACTTGTCCGGCTTCATCATCACACCAGGTCATTAACCTTGTGCCACTACAGGACCAGTTCGACTCCTACCGCGAATCGACCATCGGCGCCGCCTTCCTGACCCAGACCATTTCCCTCGACGAAAACACCACAGTCAAGTTTGAGATTTGGGATACGGCCGGACAGGAGCGGTACAAGTCCCTTGCACCCATGTACTACCGCAACGCAAACTGCGCTGTGGTAGTTTACGACATTACCCAATCTGTAGGTTGAATGATAACCTATGGCATCCTTCACAAGAATGCTAACAGCAGCAAGGCATCCCTGGATAAGGCAAAGGCGTGGGTCAAGGAATTGCAGAGACAAGCCAACGAAAACATCATCATCGCCCTCGCCGGCAACAAGCTGGATTTGGTCACCGAGCAGCCCGATAAGAGAGCGGTGTCCACGGCCGACGCCGAGGCGTATGCGCGCGAGGCCGGACTCCTCTTCTTCGAGACATCGGCCAAGACGGCCGAGAACGTCAAGGACCTCTTCACTGCTATCGCCAAGAAGCTGCCGCTTGACCAGGCCGGCCCTAGGCACGCTCGGCCAGGCCAGCGACAGGGCGTTAGCCTTCAACCCGAGACTCCTGGCAGCAATGTCAGCGGGCCTTGCAGCTGCTAAGTGAGAAGAGACTCACATTCCAACATCATCATTATCATCACATATCGAAAGAGCCCCAGGAATACGGCGAAAGATTGGCATCACGTCCGAGGCGAGACAGGCTTCCGTTGGCAGACTGCGCGATGGCACCCATCGGTTCAGGCACCGCACCAATACAAGCATGTACACGACGGCGTTTGGGCTGGATGGGTTTGGGCTGAAGAAGAGCGTTGTCGCAAACCCCTACACCGAAGAATGGGTATGCTAGACCCAGCTTTTTAATATCAACAGTACGTTTTTTTGAGAGAAGGAGAGAAGAGGGAGAGTCAAGGAGAGAAGGGGAGAGAGTTGCGCGTGTGTGTGATTTTACATTTCGAGTCTTCATTGAGCTGGTCATTCGGTTGCGGCAACTCGGGTGTAGGGACAGTCCTGGGATAAGACGGTGTACGGGAACGGATTCACTTTACTGGGGGAAGCATCCTGCAGCATTTTTCTGATGTACAGTATGCGATAGAGGCAACTGTTTCTCAAGGATGGGGCCGTATACAATTTCTTATCGTTTCAATCCTGGGCTTGGTGATGCACTGGACATGGTCCCATTGACGTATATACACACAGCTCGTGGATGCCGATGAAGATTTCCAAATGCTGCCATCAAGGAAGTCAAGCTTGGTGACGTAGTTTCGTTTAGGCATTCTTTTTTTTCTTCCCCCAATAATTCGCCAGGTTATCGAGACTTTGAGAGAAAATTCACGCAGAGCAGAAAGCTGTATCATTCCCGTTAAACATGATGTATATCAATTTATCAATTTGATGAAGACGAGAGAGGGTGAAAGCCGCGTGTCAATAATTGACAGGTGACGTGAGCTCTTTCTGAGGTACTTTACGTAGTAAGGTACACCGTACAAGTACGTAGTAAGGTATAGGCAGGCAGGTGGTCCTGGCTGAGATCCCGGTTCCTGCCGCTCGGCGCTCGCAGCGGACCAGCACGGCGCGGCTGGAAGCTCACCCAGTTTTAGCCGAACTTTTCCCTGAGCTTTTTTGTGCCTGGATTCCCGTCACCAAAAGGTACGGAACACCTCCCACTGCAACTCCCCCTCGACATCATTCACCCCCAATTACGCCCTGTCGGCCCATTGCATCCCCTCATGTTGCGAACGTCGATTCGATCCGTGAGGGTGCTCGGCCACAGGCCTGCGGCGGCCGTCGTTGGCCGCCAATGGCAGGCCGCTGCCGCCCGCCAGAGGAGGCATTTCGCAGACGACAAGAAGCCCGCTGTCGACCCTTCCAAACCCGCCGTCCTGCCGGCATCAGAGACCATCACCTCAGAGAAGAGCGCCGTCCCCGAGATTTCCGCCGTCGAGCCGACCATCCCCAAGCAAGAGGTTCCTCTTACGCCCCCGACTCCCGATCCCGCGGTCGTCGTTCCCAACCTCGAGGCTGCCGCTGCCGCTGCCGCTGCTCCTCCTCCGCCCGAGTCGCCCGCCGCTGCCGCGCCCAAGAAGAAGGGTTTCTTCCGCCGATTGAGAAACCTCGTCTTGACCCTCGCCATCCTCGGCGCCGTCGGTTTTGGAGGCGGTGTTTGGTACTCGCGCGTCAACGATAACTTCCACGACTTCTTCACCGAATATATTCCCTTTGGCGAGCAGGCCGTTCTCTATTTTGAGGAAGCAGACTTCCGCAAGCGATTCCCCAACCTCTCAAACAAGATCAAGGGAAGAGATACCGGAAGCCAGGTCAAGATTCCCGCCCAGAGCGGCGCGTCATGGAGAGTAGCCGATAACGGCGAGCCCGCCGGTCGTCAGTCGAGCGCTGTTGACAAGGCTGCTGCCAAGGTCGTCGCTGTCAAGGAGGAGGTGAGCAAGCCGGCCGAGAAGCCCAAGCCTGCGCCGGAGGCTCCCAAGGCCGCGCCTGAGCCCGCCAAGGAGACCAAGCCTGCTGCTGCTACTGCGCCCAAGGAGGACTCGAACGGATTCAAGGCCCCCGAGGTCAACGAGCCTTCGCGATTCCCTCCCATTGCCCCGATCGACGCGCTGAAGATTGAGGATGCCACCGAGCCCGTCGTCCAGGACCTCGTTCGCATGCTCAACGACATCATCACCGTGATCAACGCTGACAAGGCCCACGGCCGCTACTCTCCGACCATTGCCAAGGCCAAGAGCGAGTTGAGCAAGGTCGGAGGCAAGATCAAGGCCATCAAGTCTTCGGTCGAGGAGAAGGCTGCTTCCGAGGTTGAGGCAAAGGTCGCCGACTTTGACAAGGCCGCCAACGACCTGATTGCCCGCGTCGAGTCCGCCATGGTCGCCCAGGAGACCCAGTGGAGAAAGGATTTCGAGGACGAGATGAAGAAGGTCAAGGATGCCTACAACGAGCGCGTCAAGCTTCTGCTGGAGCGCGAGAAGCAGCTTAACGAGGAGCGTCTCAACAACCAGCTGCTGGAGCAGGCGCTCGCCCTGAAGAAGGAGTTCGTCGCCGAGGTGCAGGGCCACGTCGAGGCCGAGCGCGAGGGCCGTCTCGGCAAGCTCAACAACCTGTCGGCAGCCGTCCAGGACCTCGAGAAGCTGACGACGGGCTGGAACGAGGTCGTCGACACCAACCTCCGCACGCAGCAGCTCCACGTCGCCGTGGACGCCGTCCGCGCTAGCCTGGAGAACGCGACGACGCCCAAGCCGTTTACACGCGAGCTCGTTGCGCTCAAGGAGATTGCGGCTGAGGACCCCGTCGTCAACGCGGCCATTGCCTCGATCAACCCGTCGGCCTACCAGCGCGGCCTCTCCAACGCGGCACAGCTTATCGACCGCTTCAGGATAGTCGCCAACGAGGTGCGCAAGGCGTCCCTCCTGCCCGAGGAGGCCGGCGTCGCCAGCCACGCGTCGAGCTACCTCCTCAGCAAGGTCATGTTCAAGAAGCAGGGCCTGGTCGGCGGCGATGACGTTGAGAGCATCCTCACCCGCACGCAGACGCTGTTGGAGGAGGGTAACCTGGATGCTGCGGCCCGTGAGATGAACGGTCTGCAGGGCTGGGCGAAGACGCTGAGCAGAGACTGGCTCGGTGAGGTGAGGAAGGTTCTTGAGGTCCAGCAGGCTCTTGATGTGAGTATACCCTCGTGAAATGCATGTGAGGAATGTTCGATAACTAATGTGTTTAATTCTAGGTCATTGCGACAGAAGCGCGCCTGCAGAGTCTCAAGGTAGAATAATGGACGGGAAACATTCTTTTTCTTTTGTTCTAGTATGAAGGGGGGCTCCCACGGGGAGACTATTTAGAAGAGTGAGAGTGAGCAAGATAGCCTAGACCTCTGGTCTGTGTAAGACATAGCCCATAGACTTGAATGAAGGCAGTGTATTTTATCAAGTCTTTCTACTTGCGATGTCCGTACTACCTCTGTATGCTACAGACCCAGAGCGCGGTTTGACATTTGCTTAGTTGATTCATTCGGGCCATTACCCAACCTGAAAGGAAGCTTATTGTCAAGACACATGGTTAACTAGTACCTAAGGTAAATGGTATAAAAACACGAATTGAGTTTTGAGAGGCTCTTCGACGCGTAGTCACAAGCCGGTGCCACGAGAGCCGTCCTGACTACCTTGTTCGGCGCAGACTTTTAAGGAAACGGGACGAGCGCCGAGCGCAGGGCCCCCGGACCACGCTCTCCCGGCTCGAGTGCCGAAGCGCACCCCAACGGAAGCCGCATATAACCAGAATGAACCCCCCACCGAAACCCGGTAGCAGACGCAGCAGCTTACCACACCCCGAAATTCTACCTTTCCAAAGTACCTTAACCAGAGTTCAAGGGAGAGCTCTGGTAACCCCTCCATCTCGAGCCCCGCTGTAAAGGACCTCCCCCCCAAAAAGATAGGGAGCATTCCCAACGTCCTTGATGCATCATGCATCCCGCCACGTAATACGCCTCACGCGCAGCGCCAGCAGCAGAAGTTTCCTACTTTCCACATTCTTAGGACGACGAATGATGGCTACCGCCGGGAGGACGTACAATGCAAGTCTTCCCCCAAGATATCCCCCTTCCCGCTGTGAAGCTTCAGAGCGTTGTCTCCGAGGTCGGAGATCGCGACATCTTTGCCGCTTCAAGCTCGACTTCACAGAGCCACGCAGTCGAGGACCGCAAGACGAGGAGAGGAGAGGACGAAAGCACACCGCAGAACCAAGCTTTACTAACTCAGTCTAACCCCAGGACGCCGTCGACGCGCTCAACACCCTCCAAACCCCCTTCGCGGTAATCGAAGCCCGCCGCAAGGCAGGCATCCGCCCCGACGAAGCCTCCGTCGCCGAAATGCGAGCGTACCTCGCGCGCGTGGGCTACTCCGTCTCCGACCTCGACGGCCTCAACGTGATCCACGTCGCGGGGACAAAGGGGAAAGGGAGCACCTGCGCCTTTACCGACTCCATCCTCGCACGGCACCGCGCCGCTTCGCCAAAGTCGATACCGCGCAAGGTCGGGTTGTTGATCTCGCCGCATTTGATCGCGGTGAGGGAGCGGATACGGATCAACGGCGTGCCGATATCCGAGGCGCTGTTTGCGCGGTATTTCTTCGAGGTGTGGGATCGGTTGGGGGAGGAGAATGAGGTGCTGGGAGAGGTTGTTGCGGTCGGGACGAGGCCGATTTACTCGCGGTATCTGACGCTGGTTAGTTTCCATGCTTTCCTGAGCGAGGGGTGCGATGTTGCTATCTTGGAGACGGGGATCGGGGGGGAGTATGATGCTACGAATCTTGTGGGGCGGCCTGTGGCGACGGGGATTACGACGTTGGGGATCGATCACGTTTTTGCGCTGGGGGATACGGTGGAGAAGATTGCGTGGCACAAGGGCGGGATTATGAAGGCTGGGAGCAAGGGGTTCACTGTTGAGCAGGTTGCTGGGGCGGCGGGGGTGTTGGAGGAGCGGGCGAGGGAGAAGGGGGTCGAGATGGAGGTTGTTGGTGTTGATCCGCGGCTTGGGGGCGTCAAGATCCGTCCTGATGCGGTTTTCCAGAAGAGGAATGCGAGTTTGGCGGTGCGGCTTGCGGAGACTGCGCTGGAGAGGGTCGATCCCGAGTTCAGGAGGGACCCGGAGATGCTGTCGGCGCCGTTTGTGGAGGGGTTGGAGGGGGTTGTTTGGAGGGGGCGGTGTGAGGTCAAGGAGGAGGGCGCTGTTGCGTGGTACGTTGACGGGGCGCATACGACGGATAGTCTGAGGATGGCGGCGCGGTGGTATGTGGACGAGAGTGCGAGCAGGGGGAAGAAGGGGCCGAGGGCGCTGGTGTTTAACCAGCAGGGTCGGACGGAGGCGATTGACTTTTTGGATGGCATGTACGAGGCTATCAAGAGGGTGGATGGGAGGGCGTTTGAGAGCGTGGTGTTTTGTACGAACGTTACGTATGCCCAGACTGGGTATAAGCGAGGTGAGCCCCCTTCTTCTTCTCAAGTGTCGTTGGGATGGTCGGAATGTTTGGACGAGAGAAGAAGATGCTGACTTGACGATGGACAGACTTCGTCAACCACCAGTACGACGCCAAAGCCATCGAGGCCATGACGGTGCAGAGGCAGTTCGCGGAGCGCTGGTCCAAGCTGGATCCCCACGCCGACGTGCGCGTGATACCGACTATCGAAGAGGCCTTGAACCACGTCCGGAGCGTCGGCGAGGGCCTGCCGGAGGGCGAGAGTGTACAGGCTCTTGTCACGGGCAGTCTGCATCTTGTTGGTGGCGCGCTGGGCATCCTGGAGGGCGCGGATGCTTTGTAGATGTTTCCAGGGTGTGGAGTATTCATATTGCTTTTGCGTTTGACTCCAAGAGGTTGGGGTCTTATGGGATACAATGGGGTTTAACAACGGCTTTACATAGGGGCACGAACAGACATGTCCTCACGGATTCAACTCTAGATTTATATGTTCTATATTCTTCAGTCTTCTATTCTGGGTGGATCACAATAGATTTTCCGGCTCCAAGAAGCCGATGACGTTTCCAACGAGATACATGCTCCCCGTAACCAGCACGTTTGTCCCCGACGACGGCTCCGCGACGCCATCGACGGCGCTCTTCATCTCCGTCAGGTCCCTGCACACCGCGACCTTTGTAGCAGGATACAATTCCCTAAACGCCGCAGCACACGCCTCCTGAACACTGAGATCTACGTCCCCGCCCTCGCCGGCGATGTTAGTCTTGTCGTTCCTCGTGAAGATGGCCGCGGCCAGCCGCGTCTCGAGGTCGACACCCAGGGTCTTCATCTGGCGGAGGAACTCTGTCAGGAGGGCGGAGGCGTCGCGCTCTTGCTGGTTGAAGACGAGGACGAAACTTTCTCCGTCGTCGTGAGCGGTGTCTGAGGAGGTTGTGGCGGCGACGATGGGTGATATCCAGCGCGCTACTTCGGCCAGACTATCCGCGTTGTGCGCGCCGTCGAGGTACCACGATACACTACCCTGCTTTAGAACTTCGTGCCGGCCGCGGAGCGTCGCCTCGCGGAGACCGGCGATGATGACTCCGGGGACATCCGCCAGCGAAGGATTCGCCTTTCCTACCGTGCTTGACCCCGCTTCTCGGGCTTGAAGGACCTGGATGTGCCGCCTCGCAGCCAGGGCAGCGAGAGCCTGGTTCCTCTTTTGAAAGTCCCCGCCTGGTAACTTTGCGTCCTCGACACCGCTCCACGCAGTGACGTCCTCGTCGTCGACCTCGATTAGCTCCGCGCCTGCTTCGCGCGCGCGGGAGCGGAGGGTGGTCATCACGCCCGGGTGTACCTCATCGGATACCCTGCGCGTGAAGGTCGCGACGCCGGGTTTCATCACGCCCGCTTTATGCCACGCGATCTGCGAGGGTGTGGACCCTAACATCGCAACGTGATCGATGCCAAGCTGCGTGATGACCGACGTCGTCACCGCCTCGGGTGGGATGGCGTTCGTGGCGTCGTATTCGCCGCCGATGCCGCATTCCAGCACCACGGTGCGGACGCGGAGTTTGAGGAAGACGTGCAGGGCGAGGAGGGTGAGGAAGCGGAAGTAGAAGGGTTTGGAGCCCGGTTCGATGCCGAGGTCGGGCCCGGTGCTGCTGGCGCTGCCGCCGGGGGCGGAGGGGGAGGTGCAGGAGGAGAGGGTGTCCCAGAGTTCGAAGAAGGATGTTGCGAAGAGGGTTTGGGAGATGGGGGTGTTGGAGACTGCGATGCGCTCGCGGGGGGTGAGGAGGTGGGGGGAGGTGTAGGTTCCTATGGGGCCTATGTGTGTCGGGGAAGGGTGCGAGGAGGATGAGGATGAGTGGTTGAGGAGGGCCGAGGTCGTGAGGGCTGTTACGGAGCCTTTTCCTTTTGTGCCTGCTATGTGGATGAAGGAGAGGGAGGCGAGGCGTTCGGGGGTGAGGTTTGCGCGGAGGAGCCAGGCGCGCATTTCGGGGATGGCAAGGAGGTTTGGGTCTGTTGTTGGTGTTGCTGGTGCTGCGGTGGTGGGAGCGGCATCTTTTGGTTTGTTGAAGAGGGCGTGGACTTTGAGGTTTGGGATGAGGGTGTTTAGGAGGTTGATTGCGTCGGTGTAAGTCCGTGATGATGGTGGTGTTGCGGGGGGAGACATTGTGGTGATGAGTCTTGATAAGGAGGGATTATTGAAGGGGTGGTTTGTGAGGCGCAATGAGGCTGAGATTTGGGTTGGGCGGAAGAAGAGCCTCATGAGTGTGAGATGCTGGAGAGGGAGGTGGATGGTAGGGGTATGTGATCACGACGTTGAAAGAAGCATTGTTTGTGAGTTTGGTGGTTGGTGGTTGAGGCTGAAATTAGGTTGGTGGTTTCTGAGTGGTGAAGCTTTTTTGAGTGAGTTCCCACTTGAGATGAGAGTGAGCTATTCAAGGGAGGCTTGGAACTCCACTCCGAGGTCTGTCAGTCACTCATGTTTGTATCACCTCTACTGGTTGAAGTAGTGCTTTGTATAACATCTATCGGTGATGCATTCGAAAATGTATTCTGCTTTAGTAGCTTGAGTATACCAAACATCGGTGGCTGGGATTGACGCTCTATCTAACTGCTCCGAGAAGACGGGCTGTGCCGCAGCAGAAACTTGGTAACTGTTTCGTAGCTTGGCTGGTAGATACTCTAGTATCATTCTCAAGGTGATCTGTAATATACACAGTCATCCCTATAAACCAGCCAGTATATTGCCATGAGAGAGATGGGCTATAGTCTAACTAGGTAATACCAGAGAAGCAGCCAATAGACAAGACCACTACACACAAATGTGAACCCCCGATCGCAGACACCCAGTGATGATGACAAGCATTCCGACAACCAAGGATAAGCCTTCCATCGCGGGGGGAACAGCCGAGGTGGGGGCAAGGGAGGACCCTGGCACTTGTTCAAACTTCTGGCTCAGTCCCTCATTCCCGTCGCAAAGGTGTTACTGTCCGCGATCTCGGCGTCCAAGTCGCAGGGTCGCAGGATCGTAATTGTCGCCGTTGCAGATGTATCAAGGATGGCAACTGTAATACGGTAACATATGAGTTAATGTTGAAGACTGATTACCAAGCCTTGACTGGAATCTAGCAGTCTCGCGGATGACGGCACGGTCCAGGTGGGATAAGTCAACAGATGGATTCAATGAGCAGCTTAGCAGTCTTTAGCTTCCTAGTCAGGTAGTTCGGCTTCGGCTTTGGGTGGTGGATAATAAGAACACCAACTCGTTTGGGGACTCAACATTAACATAAACCAATCGGCAGGACGAAGTGCTCCGAGAAGACCTTATGAGTCTATACGGATAGAGACTTCGGGTAAAAAGTACTAGACATGAAGTGTGAACTAAACACTCTCACCGGCTCTCGCGCCGAGCTTGTGCTGGTTAAATCCGATGTCGCATTAGCCCCAGCAAGAGTTCTCTACCCATCCGTATCCATGCTTTTAGTGTAGTCATTGAGTCAATCAACTTTTGCCGATTCGGCAACGCGGCAACAGTCGACATTTCTGTCTCTCGGCTCTCGTCGCTCTCGCGTCTTTCCACCCCCATACTACCTTAGTAGGTAGGGTACACTATTACACACGATTTTCACTTACCCCAGTCTTGGATGCTTTAGATCTCACACCCCTTGCTCTTAGCTGCTTCGAGACCAGTCCCTTTACGTCCACTTTTCCCTCGCCATGGGACCAGGGGAGGGTACAGGTTGGAGCGCATGTGGAGGTGCTTGTCATCGACTTTGGATTCGTAATGGAAATTTGTTGCGCCTTTGGCTCGTCACTTTTCTTTCGTTTCGTTTCGGTGACTTTTGACTCTTCCTCTTGACAACCATGACGGAGCGACTGCTGCTACGGGTTTCTTCTCACTAGTTGTAGCTGAAGATTGCCACTCACTGAGCAATACCCAGTCTCGGCACGTTGCATCTCTCATCGCCTCACCGTGTCTCTCTCTCTTTGCGCGAAGCTGGTGATCTCATTTCAATTCTCACGTTGAAAGGTCCAACTCAGCTAGCTACCTTTAGACTCACCACTTCCTCCTATGAATCATCAGTCTCTCGCTCAGCATCCCGAAAACAGACTGAGTTCTTGAGACAAGCACACAATCTTCACACGACATTCCTTTACCGCCAGGACCATCGCCCAGCACAGCAAAGCACAGATGACAGCAAAAGACTTCCACGAGGTCCACGACGACGAAAAGGTCGGCGACATTGAGCGCGCCGCCGGCTCCCAAACCGAAGATGGATCGCCCACGACCACCAGCAGCGACTCGGTAACCATCCGCAGCAACCCCGACGCGACGAACATCAAGGCGGAAGAACAAGAACTCTCCCACGACGCCACTGCCGCAACAGCGACAACAGGCCATGTGACGGGCCCCAGCGACACCAAAGAGGCCGCGCCCGAAACACAAGCCACGGCAGCGGCGCAAGGGCCACCACCGGCAGCGGCGGCCGGCGCCGAAGACACGCCCGAGGCCGGCCGCACGAAGCTCGAGACAACGCTCATCGTGCTCTCGCTCTGCGCGGCGCTGTTCCTGGCGGCGCTGGACGTTACGATTATCACGACCGCCGTGCCGACCATTGCGGAGGAGTTTAATAGCAATATCGGATACATCTGGATCGGCTCGGCGTACCTTCTCAGCAATGCGGCTTTCGTGCCGACGTGGGGCAAGATTTCTGATATCTGGGGCCGGAAGCCCATTCTGCTGTGCGCTGTTGGTGTGTTTTGGGTTGGGTCGTTGATTTGTGGGTTGTCTACGAGCATGGGGTAAGTCTTTGAGAGCTTCAGACTGGAAGACGGCGTATAGATGTTGCTAACATGACACAGCATGCTCATCGGCGCCCGCGCGATCCAGGGCATAGGCGGCGGCGGCATCATCGTCCTCGTCAATATCTGCGTAAGCGACCTCTTCTCGATGCGCCAGCGCGGCGTCTATTTCGGCGTCATGGGCATGGTCTGGGCCGTCTCGAGCGCCATCGGCCCCGTCCTCGGCGGCGTCTTCACGAGCAAGGCCACCTGGCGGTGGTGCTTCTACGTCAACCTGCCCATCTCGGGCGTCGGCTTCATCGTGCTCTTCTTCGTCCTCAAGCTGCACAACCCGCGGACGCCCGTCGCGCAGGGCCTGAAGGCGATCGACTGGGTCGGCACGCTGACCATCATCGGCGGCACGCTCATGTTCCTGTTCGGACTCGAGTTTGGCGGCGTTCAGTACCCGTGGAGCTCGCCTACTGTCATCTGTCTGATCGTGTTTGGCATCGTCACGATTGGCATCTTCGCAGTCAACGAATGGAAGTATGCGCGGTACCCCGTCATCCCGATGCACCTCTTCCGCAGCTGGTCCAACATGGCCGCCTTCGCCACGGCCTTCTGCCACGCCTTCGCCTTCATCTCGGGCAGCTACTGGCTGCCGCTCTACTTCCAGGGCGTGCAGGGCGTCTCCTCCCTCCTCTCGGGCGTCTACCTACTCCCCTACGTCCTCTCGCTGTCCCTCATGTCCGCCGTCGCGGGCGTGCTGATCCGCAAGACGGGCAACTACGTCTACCTCATCGTCGGCGGCATGCTCGTCACGACGGTCGGGTTCGGGCTGTTCCACGACCTACCGCTCGACCGCAACTTTACAAAGATTATCCTGTACCAGATCGTCGCGGGGCTCGGTATTGGGCCCAACTTCCAGAGCCCGCTGATTGCGGTGCAGACGTCGGTGGAGCCGCGCGATATCGCGGCCGCGACGTCGGCGTTTGGGTTCATCAGGCAGATGGGCACGTCGATTTCTGTGGTTATTGGTGGCGTGGTGTTTAATAATGAGATGCAGAGGCAGTACCCGCGGCTGAGGGAGGAACTTGGCCCTGAGCTGGCGAATATGCTCTCTGGTTCGAGCGCCGCGTCCAGCGTGGGCGTGGTGGCGGATTTGCAGGGGGAGCAAGGGCAGATTGCGCGCGGGGCATATCTGAGTTCTCTGAGGACGATGTATATCGTCTATGTTGCGTTTGCCGGGCTCGGGCTCGTTCTGAGTTTGTTTGTGAGACAGGTGCAGTTGAGTAAGAAGCATACGGAGCATAAGACGGGGTTGAAGACGCTTCGGAGCCGGACTGGGAAATGAGGCTCTACCTCTCTCATGGAGGCACGCCTCGAGGGGAAGAAAGGGGGTTATGGGTAGGGAAGAAAGCGGCGAAGGTGTGAGGGTTTGCTAGACTTCAACAGCATGGCGTTTTGGATAAGAGCATCTTGTTTGGTTGGCAGCGAGCATCAACTGGATACCAAAAAATAGGATGCATTCTTTCTCTCTCTGATATTCACGAACCCCTGGGATTCACTCATGACTCAATCCATCTTTTGTGCTCATGTGAAATCGATGACTTATGGTCCATCGTATCATACATTGCTGCGATTTGGTGTTTCGCACGAGACATACTTGGGTATTCCGATGTGCTGACAGCTTCACATGGCACGATCGAGTTGGTAGGACCCTAATTGTGAACAAATCTTGTTGTCTACCAACATCTAGTCTATCACTGCGCCGAGCAGCTACCTCATCTATTCTATACACGTCTTATCATGAGTTTCCCGTTTGCGCCTCGGCAGCTTTCTCCTCGTTCCCTGAGCCGCCCTTGCGATGCCGCCACTCCCTCGCCAAAAACGTCAATGCAACACACAATCCAAGCCCAGCGAGCCCGACACCCATGTACAACGCGCCCCGGAACCCCCTGAACTGCTCCTCCTTGGTCCCCGCGCCCTTGCTGACGTGCACCTCCACCGTGCCCGCGAACCCGACGCCGAGCGCGATGCCGTAGTTGACCACCGTGTTGACCAGACTCGCCCCGATGCCCTGGTGCTCCTTCTTGACGGCGTTCGACAGGATCAGCGTCGCGGCGGGGAAGCTCATGTCCATGCCAAAGGGCATGATGATCATGGAGACGAAGATCTGCGCCCAGTAGATCTGGTTCTCGGGCGCCGTGGCCGTGAGGATGACGCCGACGGTGAAGGCGATGAGCGCCATCGTCATGACGACGGGCGGGCGCACCTTGAGCGGGCCGAGGAGCTTGCCCGTGATGACGGCCGCGAGACCGCCCGTGACCACGACGGGCGAGAACCACGCGCACGTGAGCAGCGGCGAGAGCGTGCGGATCTCCTGGAGGATCTGGACGAGGTAGAGCGTCCAGATGCCGAAGGTCGCCCAGCCGCAGACGACGGCCGCGAGGACGAAAGCCACGTCGGCGTTGACGGCGTCAAAGGGCAGAAGAGGCTTCTCAGCGTACTTGAACTCGATGGCGGTGAAGACGCCGAAAAGGACGAGGCCGAGGATGAGCGGGACGAGGACCGTGGGCGTCTTCCAGCCGTCGATGGGCGCCTGGTTCCAAGCAAAGTTGAAGAGAATGAGCGCCACGATGCCCGTGACCGCGCCGGGGATGTCGAGCTCGACAAACATGTCACTGAGGGTCCTTGGGGCGCGGTCGACCTTTGCGTGCGGCTCGGGGATGATGAAGTAGCCCGCGACGGCCAGGATCGCGAGCCAGATGGAGAGGGCCCAGAGTGCCCAAGGCCACCACTCGAGCTCGAGCGTGCAGGCGATGGCGGCTCCGACGACGCCGCCCATGGGCGCGACGGCGCCGAAGAAAGAGAAAACCATGGCCTTGCGGTGGCCCGGCGGGTAAGCGGCGCCGAATAAGGCCAGGGCATTGGGGAGGCAGATGGCCGGGCCGATGCCCTGGAGGACGCGTGAGAAGACGGCGAGTGTGAAGTTTGAGTAGACGCTGAGGCCGGCGATGAGGGACCAGAGGGAGAACCAGGCGAAGCCGATGATGAGCATGCGCTTGTAGCCAAAGGCGTCGCCGAGGCGGCCCGAGAAGAGGATGAAAGTGCCGACGGTGAGGGAGTAGCCGGCGACGAGCCAGGCTAGGCGGGCTGGGTTGTCTACGTGAAAGGAGCCGCCGATGACGTGGAGGAGGACGAGGGTTTCCATGTAGGCGGCCTCTGTGCAAGTGGTTAGTCTATAATTTTCATGTTTTCTCATGCTTAGGGATAATGCGATGCTGTGAGATGGAGTTTGGGGATAGAGGGCAGCAACTTACGAGTGCAGAATTGTGCCATGCAGCAAATAATTACGAACATGGCTTCACGGGGGAACGACATGCCGTCGACAGCCCACACTGAAGAAGCATTGGATTGTTGCGGCGCGAGGTTGTCGCCATTGTCGTCGCTTGAATCGTCTCTACTCGATCGGCCTAAGCTTGAGTCGTCGGGGATGTGCTTGTCGTCCCGGAGCATGTTGACGTCCGGTGTCGCAGCGGCGGTCCTGTCGCCTGATGTTGAGTCGAGGCTCTTGCGAACATACTGCTGCTGCTTCTCAGATGCCGACGGAGAAGCCATCGTGAACTGGAGTGCGGTGTTCCTTCGACCTTGGAATGTTGCTGACCCTGACCTTCAAAGAACAGGAAAGGCCCCAGGCAGGACCATCAACGACGGGCGATACTCGAGTTGAAGTAATGGAAAACGATCTACCCGTCAGGTTGACGCCAACGCGCGAGGGCGGGAACGCCCCTCCGAACCGGGGAGGACCCATTTACAATTTGGAAAATTCGCCATTCCCGGACTAGGCGTACATACGAAGTACGGGACTAAGAAATTGAATCAAAGATCCCCGAACCAGCCAGCCAGGCCAGCGGGACAAGGGGACGACCTAAAGACCTACCTTAGAGGCTTAGAGCCGTCTCTGTCTCGGACTTACACGTGGGATTGGCGAGTTCTAGCAGAGGGTCCCGGCCAGGGTAGGGTGTACCGGATATGGGTCCTTTTGGATCATGGATGGATCTTTTCTTCTCGTCCCTTGAGAATTGCTTCCGTGTGGTGGTTGCTGACTGGGTTCTTTGGGCTCACCAAGACAGTATTAGACCACATCCCAGTTGAGCACCACACATCCTTGGCCCCATCACGCGGCACGCGAGTCGGCATTCCAGCAATTGACAGGAGTTTTGCGTGGTCGATCGAACCAGTCAGTGCTCAGTGCGTCGCTGCGTCGATGACCGCCTGTTGACTGTTCTATGGGACTCCTTGAGAGGATATTTTTACCCTTTTCGGGAGGAAGCTCCAGCGGGAACAGACTCAAAATCTAATCTGATCTTTAACTTTCCCAACGGGACGGGACCATGACGTCTCTTTCGGTGTATCCGTACGGACTTAACGTGTTGAAGGTATGTTAGCGACTTCAATATGAGGGATGACTGAGAACCTTTCTGTCACGTCAACCTGCAAGATCAGTCAGACGGTCAGACAACCTTCTCGAAGCCGCATTAAAGATGAACAGCAAGACACGTTAACAACACAGCCGGTTCCCGCCCATCGGCAAATCCGCCCCCGGGCCCGCGGGACACGCAGAGCTCTAGAACTCTCGTATACCTACACGTACAGCCCCCAACCTTCTCTCCCAATTCAGCTTCTGATCACGAGCCCTTTGTCGAGAGCTAGGAAAGCTGGACTGCGGGCGGCGGCGCAGGCCAGCGAGCGGGACAAACCTTTGCTTAACCCCTTTCGGAACACTCTTCGGAACAGGCTCAACTCCAACAGTGCTTAACCTGCCATAGGTGTCAAGGGTGCGTTGGTGCTTAGCAGAACGCAGGGCTGAGAGGGCACGGAAGGTTCCAAAGAGGCGGGCAAGAGGCATTCAAAGTGTCGGGCTGGGCTGGTCTAGTGCCAAAGGCGCAAGAGCTTAGCAAGGCGCGTGGCGCACTGGCGTACATCTTCCCCCGCGCGCTCGGGATGGACGCCGCCCATCCCACCCTCAAGTTTGGACGCTTTCGATGCCTACCAGTGCCAATTCGCTGGGAGCTTGGGCCCGAGTCAAGCCTAGTCTGGCTCGCTGTCTGACAGACCAAGTTGACAAGTCCGCGGGTTCCAGCCACTTTTGGCGTTCTGGAATGGCCGTATTCGGCAGTGGGTTGGAAGTTGAGATAGCGGTGATTTGTAAAGCTGCGCTGGTGGTGATGCGCTGGAGCCTGGGAGGATATTGGGGCCGGGTTGACATTCATCCAAGGAATGTCTGAAAGATGGTCTATCTCCCTGGGTGGACTTGGGCTGCTGGTCGTTCAGATGAACCACTGCCATTCTGTTGTCCATCGACCAAAGTCCTCGTCAAACCTTCAGGCGTTATTTGCCCATTATGGTCCCGTTCGCGTTCTGCTGCCAAGACCATCAGAAAATTGCTCAGCGACGTTTGAGATCACGACATTTGTGTTTGGCTATAACGGGACGCCTTTCAAAAGTGAAGAATCGGGGAAAATTCCCAGTCACGTACGAGTCAATCATGTCTAACGCCGAAGGAGATTCAAGGGAGAGTGTGAAAATGGTATTTCCGTATCTCCGTATTTCCGAGAGCTACACCTCCGTTATTCCGCTTCTCAACAGACAGTTATGGGGCCGGGCTACTTCCGGTGGAGGAGGGCAGACCAGAGCGAACCACAAAGTCAGAAAACCGTACTCTTGAATTACACACGTCAGAGCCGCGCGCGTGTCCTGGTATCTTGCTGTCATCGGCCGTTGTTGCAACGCTTCGGAACTCGCGTATCTCGTTCCGAACCCTGATCTGCAAAATATCTCTAAAATGACATCCACGCCGGTAGTCCACGGCGCGGCGCCGCCGAAGACCCATCGGAGATCGAGTAGTATGGGTCGGCGGCGGCCCGGATGAGAAAGGTAGGTCGCTGTGCATCAACGCCAGAAGATACAAGTCTCTACCAAGAAGTCTTACCACGGCAAAATGGTCAAGCCAAGGAAATCCAGAACTGCCGATCGTTCATCACGCGGCATATACTCCACGGTCCCGAACCGACGGTTCCCCCTGCCGCTTCAGCTCCATCACGTTCTTCCCACATGTGTTGGAGCAGCATCAACGTCTGACGAATGTTGCCCAGTCTGATGGAAGAGACTGTGTGGTCGAGTCGCTCGTGTAGGAAACTCCGCTTTTCCTAGTCCACCACGCATGACCCGACCACCGCGATGGGCCAGCAAAGGCTTATGTTGATTTGGATGCTTGGGAGCAGCTGTGCCAGACTCGCGAGGGCTTTGGAAAGGACCCCTTGGGTTGTTTTCACTGACAAATTATCCTCG